GAAAGAAGTCACAAGCTTCCAGCCCCCACCATCTTGTGAGCACCCATTTCCCCCAACCAATAAACACAGACTCTGCCTCTCCCTCTTTTAGCACAGTTCAGGCTTCTGTAGCTGAAGATTGTCAGAAAATTCAATTAATCTTTTCACTGCCTGTGATGCTGCAGTCTATTGATCTCCTGCTGTGGTTTTTTGACTTGGCAACACAGGTACTCAATGAATACACACTTTCTGCAAGAAAGGGGATCACTTTTCCTTGCCACAGCCTCATTGAGGGGGCATCCTCCCCACGCATTCATTCCAACACAAGACCTGGAGACCTGCATCTTCTGAGGCTTCTGATGTGCCAAGCGGAGCTTCTCCAGAGGGTCCTGGGGATTGTGCCCTGGGCCACATCACCCCCACTGCAGAGCAAGCATGCTCCCCCTCCTGGGTGCCCTTCTGTGCAAACTTTTGTGCAAACTGCTGCATCCATCCCTAACACCCACTGAAAGGTTGCTTGAACCTCTTAATGAAGAGTTCGCTGGAAAAAAGCTCAAAGCTCCTTTTTACCCGGAATAGGCAACAGCTCCTTAGAAGCTATGAGAGCTTGCTCTAAGTCAAAGCTTCCTGTAGCTAACCTACCCTGGCAGCAGCAGGCCTATGACATTCCTCAAAGTTCCCAGGAGCCCTCTGACAATCCCAGCTGAAGATCCCAGAAGATCTAGAAGCACAGCACAGAAACTCCTATCCAAATGCTGCATCTGTTGGCAGTTTCCTCTGGCTGCACTCTCTATTCCGCTCTGTTCAGCACTGGTGAGACTACATTTGGACTGCCCACTTCTGGGCTCTCCAGTAAGAGACACGGACACACTGCAGCAAGTAGTCAATAAAATGATTAAGTGACCGGAGCATCTGTCATATGAAGAGAGGCAGACACAACTGGCAGAAAGCTCAGAAAGAGTCTTATCAATGCATACAAATACCTTACAGGACGGCATAAAGATGACAGAGCCAGACTTCATTTCAGTGCAGTGAAAGGGCAAGAGGCAATGGGCGCAAATTGCTAAAACAACTGTAACACTGCTATGCCATCAGCTGGAAACATTACTGGTACACAAAAAGCGACATGAAGAATGCTGCACTACAAGCCAAATAGTCCCCAATTGGTCAAAAGCCCCAGAACCACTTAGGAAACTAGGTACTTTACTGCTGATGTCCAAGCTTCATGAATAAAAAAATACAGATATTGCCAGCACCCAAGAATCAATCAACTACTGCCCAAAGAGGTGAAAGACGCTGACCAACTTCGAAGACTTTTCAGATCCCGAAACAGCTTAATACTAAACCATATGAACAAGCGGAACAAGATCACGTGCCCAAGGTTAACAGAAGTGCAGAGAAAAAGGGGAAAGGAAAGAGTTCGCATCTCAGCATTTCCCTCTACCTTTACATTCCCTGGAAGCAGTTACGCTACAGACCATGAAGTTGAAACTGTTTCACAATTTTTCCAGAGTCTCACTGGAAAATAAGATAGCTGCCCCTGAAAAAAAAGGATATACAATATACCAACCAGATACAAAACAGTACAAATTATAAGAATTGTAGCCAGGCTAAGCAACTAGATTGTGCTTTTGATAATCTTATTTAGTTCCATTTGATTTTGAATGCAACAGTTACACTTAGGAAGAATGTTAAGGCTCTATTCTACTTTCTCTCTAAAAACTAAGTCAATCTAATTCTCCTTTCTAGTACCTAGGTCTTCCCCAGAAGAAGCTTCAGCTGTTTAGAGGACTATGATTCTCCAAAACAAAGGCCTGTAGATAAGCCTTCCTTAGAAAAGCAATCCCACTGAAACCAGTGGAGCTGTTTCCACATAATTGAATTACGTGCTTTACGCTAGTTTGGCCAGCCAGTTGGGAAATTTGGGTGGGGGGCTAATATTCATGATGAAAATAAGCAACAATTTCAAGAATTACACTGGACAGATCACGCAAAAAAAAAAAAAGACAGGATTAGGAGAGACCTCATAGATCATATCTTCAGAGTGCAAAGACTAAGCACCTTATACTACTTGTGGGGAAAAATCCTATTTGTATTCAGATTTCAGAAATAATAATACTTCCCTTCATGTGACATCAAGCATCTTCTAAGAATGTCAAATAGTAAGCCAAAAAGTTTACTTTGGCAATTCCACTGCCAGGAATAGAAGAACTAAAATGCAGGCATTCTTTGTGCTATGACAGTGATCAGAATAAAACAAGTGCTGCAAACCTTCTGCCTTATCCATATGTCATGTGCTGCAAAACTTCTGCCTTATCCATATGTCATGTACAAGAATAATCAAATGCCTAAGACAAGCCTTTTCCTGCTTTTCCGAAGTAACATGATTTTCTTATCTTCTTCATTTTTAGCCATCCTTGAAACTCCGAAGAGCGATTAGCTTAAGAAGAGTACCCACAGCGTGCTCAACTTGTTTGCTTTTTACATGTTACATTATTCTGAGTAGAGATACAAACTTCAATTAACTCACCATTTCAGCGGTGTACCTTCGTATTCAAACCATATTTCACTAACTTCCTCTTGCCTCATAACCTTCTGGAAATGTTTCTTCACTTTATCTGTTACTAGTGTCAAGTAGCTTATTCTAGGCAAAAGCAGCTGAAAAAAATATACAAAAAATGTAAATAAAATTTAATATGCTAAATATGTAACAAGCATGCATTTTCACAATCAAAAGCTAGCAAAAGAGAATGCTGACTGTGAAACAAGACATTTTTAGAATGTCAATTATTAGTTTATTTATGGCCAATGAAACACAGAGTATTATCCAATACACTAAATAATAAATGGTCAGAACATACATTCTTGATGTAAGAAAAAAAAATCAGGAAAAAAAAAATTATTTGTTGAAACAAAACATCTTCTTAAAGCTTTCACATATATTATTTTTACTCAAACATTATACCATGCACTTTATAAAACAGAACACCATTACAGTAAGAGACATTAAGACTTTGCCCATCACCTAGCTAGTTAGCCAAATAACTTTTTTTTTTTCCCCAGAAAACAAAGTGTCATCCTACCATGGTTAAAAACAAACAAAACAACATGCAGTTAAGTAAATGTAGTAATGATCTCTGCTTGCATGATGACACTATGAAAGAAAGATTTCAGAAATAATTCTTTCAGAAAGAAACAAAAAGAACTGCCTAAGGAAAACTCTGAGCCATAAATATGTGAGAATGAAGCTCAAAACACTGAGACTGCTAGTTTTACTGATTTTTTTTTTAAATCATACCAAAACATAGGCAACAATTAAGGAAAATCTTTAAATGATATATTTCTTTTTTCCACAGGAAATTATGATAACTTTCACATTCCCACAGAGTAGTGCTTCAAGAATATTACTGACATCTTAAAAAAAAAAAAAAAAAAAAAAGTGGGGGGGGGAATAAAAATAGCTTAAGATTTAAATCTCATACCATTAAGAATGGTTAAACAGACTGCAGGAATCAGGCAGTCTATGGCCACATTGCATGTTTATTTAAAAGATAATCAGTCTGTGAGCTTTAACGAGCAGTACTTTTCAGTATCCCAGGAAGAAAACATTAACCCACCTGTAAAATAAGGTTTTGCACCAAAGCTAACATGTTTTTCTAGAATCCCTCCAACAATTATACCACAGCTTGATATAAAAGTAGGATAGTTTCACAAAAATCGAAGAATGGTTGAGGTTGGAAGGGACCTCTGGAGATCATCTATTCCAACCCTCCTGCTCCAGCAGGGGCATCTAGAGCACGTGGCACAGGACCGCATTCAGGTGAGTTTTGAAGATCTCCAGAGAAGGAGACTCCACAGCCTCCCTGGGCAGCCTGTTCCAGGGCTCTGTCACCCTCACAGGAAAGAAGTTCTTCCTCACATGGAGATGGAATTACCTGCATTTGAATTTGTACCCATGACCCCTTATCCTATTGCTGGCCACTAATGAGAAGTATTTCATCCACAATGTTGGAACTTATTTTTTAAAAAAAAAGTGTGTGTATATCTTTTTATATACATATATATATAAAAAACAAAAATACTGTGCACCTGTATCAGATTCACAAACACTACATAAGGGGAGTAAATAAAGAGTAACCTCTTAAGAAATGGATGCATCTTGTGCATCTACTCCTGATGTTCCTATCTAAGAACCCTTCCATTTATGTTTAGAGCAGTACTTAAACCCTCTCAACATGATGTCAGCATTGATTTTTTTATCCATCTTTTTAAGCTGCATGCGTAATTTATGCCAAATGAAACTAATACATTTAGCAGTTCTTAGGCTTTGAGAACATTACCAAATCTATCAGCAGTTGATCAGCATTCTAAGCATCATTTTGCAACTTAAGCCTTCAGAACAGTAACTTCTACCCGGGTCTTCCCACCTCTTCTACTTTCCTTCAATCTTCCCATTCCATAAGAGAATGGAAAGAACCCAATTCTATTGCTTTTCTAGATTTAACGTAATTTTGCTGAAGATGCAGAAATGTATCAGTTGAGTCTGAGCTCACTCAGACAGCTCTTCCATAAACTCTTCTCTGACTGACTCCTCGAACAGCCCATGCAGGCCAATGAGGCTGCCTCTTCCTGGCCTTGGGCACTCTACACAAACCTTCCTGTAAGGTGGGCCTGAACTGCCAGGATCCAGTAATCCAGCCAGTCTTGGTTCAGGACTAATACCTCCCTTGGCCCATTGTACATCACTACAGTGTTTACAAAAACCAGGACTGTTTTCCATGGTCATTAAAAGAAGTGCAAGGACACCCAGTGCCTAAGGAACGGCTTGAAATACATTCCCTACACGCACACAGACACACAGAACCCCCCCAGCTACTTTTTTTTTTTTTTTTAATCCTTCCAGAATCCCACCACTTCACGTGCAAAACTGACACTGAAATACAAAAACTCTGTATTTAATAGGAACTGGAGTCATCTTCAGTGTATCCTGGATGAAGAATCAGAGCATCCCAACCTGAAATGGCTCCCTGTTTCTCATTATTACAGATCCCCTCACACAGCAATCCTTCCAATGCTAGGCAAACCCCAAAGAGCTGGAATTCATTCCCTTGGGCAAGGGCATCATTCTGAAAATGTCTTCTGTTTTTTCTAACATAATTCAATCTCAACCAACCAGTACTTCCTACTAGTGTTATTTCTTTTTTTTTTTTGTGGTGCCAACAGACCAGTAGTATGCTGTTTTTAGTTTAAATAGTAACAATTTTAGGACTATGGAAAGAAAATGGCTCAGCAACGAAGACATTTCAATATAGATGTTTCTTATCACAGTCCTATTCCAAATACAAGACCCTGCAGGAAACACCACAAAGCGGCCTGCATGTGCCCACTTGGAGTGTAAGAGAACTGGCTGACTCCAGCAGCAAACAGATAATACAATGCTTTACCTGAGCTGTTTAGTCCTGGTGTCATTATTCTTTTGAAAGAGCCAGGTGAGCTCACTTTAAGAGGGCTCTGCTAGACCCATGCAATGCTGCATTGGGTTCCACACACCTATTCCTCCTATGCTGTGCTAGCACCTCTACCAGAGGTGGGAGATCACATAGTGATGGACTTTAGTGTTTAACGCTACACAACGCCCAAACTAAAGCTAGCTCTGTAGCTAGACAATATAAATGTTCTTTTCCGGCCAACACAAAGTTCTCATGGTGATTATGCAGGGTCTCCTTCTTTAAATTAGTTACTTGTTGACTTTTTCATAAAAAAGTTAAGAACTTAATTTCCAGTAAGGTCAGAGAGACTAACCGTATAGCATCACCATGAGGGTTACTTCCAGAAGGCACCAGGAATAAGAAGGAAAAAAGTATTTCATGACAAGCAGCAATGCACATGATGAATAAACTGAAAACAAATGTAGCAATGGGACTGGATTATCCTTCCCTGTACTTACATAATAAGGTTCGGCTTCCCTCTCAGTTATCTCATCCTGGTACAGAGTGAAGCAGGTCGGTATTCGTCCAAACCACACATCTCGAAGTACATCTTTGTCATCTGTCATTCTTCCAAAGGACAGCGAGGCACATGTAGGTCTGCGGGATTCTTCAGCTAGAACTATACCCTATGTATCCCCCCAAAAAATGAAGCAAGTGAGGTTCGCGTTTTTTGTTCGCGTAGAAGCACACCGCGGA